TGATGCCTCAGTGCCTGTGCACATGGTGAAACCCAGGGTTGCCTGTTTTATGAGACATTCTCTGACCACTTCCCCCAACCCCATGCACCACTCACTCCTTCCTCTTGACCACAAGGAGTGTCATGTTCCTTGTCCCTCTTTGCTTGCAGCTCTGGCTTCCTGTCTTGAGCCAAGTGCCCTAGAAGACAGGGACTCTGGTACAAGTGACTTATTAAGGGACAATTCTCAAGAGAAACATATAAGGAAGGAAGGGTAGGAAGCTGAGTAGGCGAAGGGCAGAGCAAGCATGGGATCTCAGGTAGAGTTCAGGTGTGGCTTGATCCAGGAGGCTCTGGAGCATAAGGAGCTTTTTGTGTCCATGTATTTTTCAGTCAGTCATTGGCTGTGGAGTGGCAGGGTTCCTGACTTTCTGGGGGGTGGCTAGCTCTCATCAGCCCAGGGCAGTTCTCAGGAGAAAGGGCAGCTGTGAGTGTTGGCAGTCATCATTGTAGCTGGGAGAAGGTGCACTGGCTGGTCAAGGGAGTCTGGGTGGGGAGCTGTGACATTTCTGAGTTAGTGAGAAGTATGGGGATCCCTAGCCCATCATCCCAACATCGACATTCTGCTCTAACCCCACAGCTGCACATGCTTTGCTGGGAGGAGGCCCTGCACATGGCATCAGGGGCATGTTGCCATTTCAGTAAGTAGAAAAGACCCCAGACATCCAGCCCTGAGGGAAGGACTTTGCTGCACCCCACACCCTTATTGAGCATCTGAGCCTGGCCATGTAGTGGGTGCATCGGCCACTGTTCTCATTTATTCCTGGTAACAACCATTTTAAGGGGCCCTGGTGTCTCAGTAGTTAAGTGCTCAGCTGCTAACCATAAAGTTGGTAGTTGAAGCCACTTAGCAACCCCATAGGAGAAAGACTTGGTGATCTTCTCCTGTAAAGATCACAGCCTAGAAACTTCCCAGTGGGGCAGTTCTGCTCTGTTATATGGGGTTGCTAGGAGTTGAAATTGACTCAGTGATACCGAACAACCACCACTGTTTCATAGATGGGTAAACAGAGGGGAGGAATGACTCCACCAAAATCATGCAGCTTGTGAGTGGTGGAGCTGGGAATGAAACCCAGTGGATCTGATGGATCTGGTTCCTTCCCCCATTGTGTGAACTGCCTTGGAGCCAAGTCCTGCCCACCGTAAGAGACTGGTGAGTCCCAGCTCTCATCTCTTAGCCCCACAACAGGGCTCAACTAAACTCAGTGTCCCCAAGGGCCTCATCTGGCGTTTACAATAGCTGGGAGGCCCATGCATGTATTTTGCATAGGATTTGCATAATGGTTGCATCTGGTTTGCATGTGTCCACGCTGAGGGCCCAATAGCTCTGCACAATGTTTAAGTTGCTTGTAAGCAACTCTCACTCAGTGAAGTCTATCTGGGCTTTAATAGGGTCCAGCTTCCTGATTCCTGGGCTCTCTCCCAAGTCCAGCATTCTAAAGAAGCCACACTTCAACCTAGCCAGTAGGGTTCATTGCAAACCTCTGTCCTGGAAACACACGTGGATTTGACAGTAACCAAAAAGGTTATCAAAAAGATGGTGCAGGAGTCATTGAAATGCCCAGTGGGCTTTGGGCATGGCGATGATTATGTTGTAGAAAGCATGAGGCTGGGCAAAGAACCTTGCTACACAGAACTTGTAAGGGTGACATGGCTGTGCAGGGAAGGCCTGGCTGTGCCCTCAGAAGAGAGGCAATAGGGTAGGGGTGGTGGGCAGGGACAAAGGACTGGAGCCAATATCCTAGGGAGGCTGCCACTGTGAGGTGGCTCCAGTGCCTGCATGTCTTTGAGCCACAGGCCACCATCTGCAATGCCAAGGGCTTGTGCCAGAAAGCAGGTAGCTCAGTGCTTTCTCCTTCTGTCTCTTTTGTCGTTGTTAGGTGCCGTTGACTCCCGACTCATGACGATCCCACGCAAGATGGAATGAAGCACTGCTTAGTCCCGCACCATCCCCCACTGGGAATCGAACCATTGTGATCCATAGGGTCCTCACTGGCCGATTTTGGAAGCAGGTAGCCAGTCCCTTCTTCCTAGTCTGTCTGAATCTGGAAGCTCTGCTGAAACCTGTTCACTATCAAAGCAACACCCAGGCCTGCGCCGACAGAAAGGTGATGGCTGCACATGGACTGCGAGGGCTGTGCGTTGAACCTGGCTTTCTCACGGGGAAGGCCAAGGTAAGAATTTTACCACCGAACCACCATTGCTCCCTGTTGCTTTCAGGGAAGGGAAATTCCATAAAACTTTTGAGTTACTCCCAATGCTCCTAGGTGGTGGGTCAGCTGTCCTGAGGCCTCAGTAGAAAAAAAAAGAGACACATCCTGTGGTGAGGTGGGAGGAGCCTGGGATTCTGGAGGCTCATGGAGGCAGGGATGGGACATCCCAGGGACGCAGGATGTCAGGCACCAGAGCCGCATGCAAACTCACCACAAGCAAGGCTGCCTCTTTGCAGCTTCCAGACATCACCTGACTCATATTCTTTGCCCCCAGAATCCTGTTCTTTCCTTCTGCCTTAGAGCAACCCTCAGAGGAGGGAAGGGAGCTCCAGTGTCCGGCAGGGGTTCCCACCCCCATCTTCCCCCCCGTGCTGCCGATGGACTCTACACTCAACAGACTTCACTCTCATCCCTGCCAAAGATCATCACGTCATCCTGATGGCACCCTCAGTTCCGCCCAGGGTTGCGTTACCTGAAAAGCAAGGGATGCGCAGACTCACTTGTGCTTGCTTTCTTACTCACCTGGAGTGAACAGTTCCATATTTTCACCACATCAGAGATTCTACTTCTAGGTGTGGCTGGCATCTGTCTCTCTCCCAACCCCACAGCACCTCTTCTCAAATTTATCATCCCTGACTGGAATGGAGTACCCCCAGTAGGCAAGGTAAGCATGGTCTTAGTTGTATTTACTTACTAATTCAGAGTAAACAGTTTCATTTCTGTGGTGAATCCCGTGGTTACATTGCTTATTGAGTACTCTGTCGTTGGTTCTGCATAAGGAAAGAAGTGGTCTGTCTGTGACCAGGTGCAGATGAAGGTAGGGACAGTTTGCTCCTGAGTGTGCAAGGTGTGGGTGAATGGTTTGGAGGTGGCCGTGCACATCCAAGGAAGCAGAAACACCATCCTGTGAATGGCCGCACCTGTCTCCATCCAGGTGTAGAAACTGAGTCTGAGTGGGGAGGGGACTTGACTGCCTCCCTCCCCTGCCTCTGGCCTCCCTAGGCTTCCTGTCTGGCAAATGCAAAGTGGCCTCCTTGTCTGCAGCGGAGACCTCAACCTCTGGTTGCATCCAGCCAGTGCCCTGAGCATCTCCTCCTACCACTGTCCCCCACCCCCATTGGGATGGGGACTCAGACTGGCTCCCGAAATTGTTCCAATAAAAGAGGGAGCATGGTGTCTGATGGCAGCCAACTGCGGGAAGGGGAAGTGGGGACCAGCTGTCCCTTCAGCCCCTTATTCTGTGGACATTTCCAAGTTTAAACAGGGTCTAGCCCCCCCCTCCCCTCCACAGCCAGCCGCCCCCCCTCCCCCTGCCCATGAGCTGTGGGCTCCACATCTGGGGCTGGAAAAGGGAGTGAGAGGAAGGGGTGGGACCCTTTGGAAAAGGATCACAGCTTCTGGGGAGGAGGAGTTTCTTCCCACAGCCAGCAGGGCAGCGCCGTCCGCAGTCAGAATCGTCTAGGCCGAAGAGCTTCATGGTTATTGTTAGTTGCACAGAGTTGGCTCCCACTCAGGGCGACTGTGTGCATAACAGAAGGAAACACTGCCCAGTCCTGAGCCGTCTCCATGTTCTTTGATGTGTGTGAGCCCATTGTTGAGGCTGTTGCATCAATTCATCTCATCTAAGATTTCCCTCATTTTCACTGACTTTACCAAACACAATGCCTTTTCTAGCAACAGGGTTTTCCTAGTGATGTGTCCAAAGGAAGCAAGTCAAAGTGTCCCCAACCTTGCTAGCTAGGTCCTGTTCACTTCCCCTCAGAGGTCTCCCGCTTTCCCAGAGTGGCAACAAGATCAGGAGTGTGTTCCAGATACTGCGTATCTTGCCCTCAGCAAAATGGCACAAGACATCTTTGTTAAAGATTGGAGAAAAGTGGGCTGGTTGACAAAAAAGCTCATTCCGTGGATTTGGCTGGAAGGTGAAAGGCCTGGTTTGGTTGCTGGGATAAAAGCCTCGTTCAAGCTAGTTCAAGTAGAGTGATGACTGGAAGCAGAGAGGGGAAGTCATGGCTGCACCTCTTCCTCAATTTGCCCAGAACTTCCACAGAGCTCTGGCTACAGCATACCACATAGCTTGTCTTCTCACTACCCCCAAAGACCTCCACTTTCAGTTCTCTTCAGCCTCTGCATTCCAGGTCCAAAGCCCAGGAGAAAGAGCACTTGGCCCAGGTGGGCTCGTGCCTGCCCCGTGGACCCACTATCCACTGTGGCCAGGAGAGGTTGAGGGCATGGATATGGGTGTCAGAGCTGCCCCGCCCAGGTCAGGGCTTGGGGCAGGTTGTCTAAGAAAGAGTGTGGGCGAGGGAAGCTGATGGGCATCTCTGACACCATCACTTTACCCAAAGGCTGTTGATTCACAGCTCCAAGTCCATTTGGAGAGAGGTCTGTCTGGGCGTGCCTTAGAGTTCTGTGCACCTTCACTCCTATCAACAACTTGGGTGAAGACACAGGAGGTCACCTTTGGAGGAAGTGCCACTCTGCTGGATGACAGAGTCAGGATTCAAAGGGCTCTTTGCCAGCCAGAAAGTTAGTACAATGATGTTGAAAGTGGATGAATGTAAAGGCCAGCTCTCAGGTTCATAAGTGAAATATGAAGGAAGCCTGGCTGAACAGCAGCTCCTTGTGAGAAAGACCTAGGCTTTCTTTGACCAGACACTGATTAAGAGCCAGGGCTGTGGTCCGGCTGCCAAGGACTTCTATTACACAAAGAGAAGCAGGCCATCCTTGGCTGGGCTGGGAGGTGGTGGACATGGGTGCTAGGTACAGCCCATACCTAAGACAGAGGGAGGCAACAGAATCCTACTAGAGGGGCCGTCTGGCCACCTGGCTGGGGTGCAGCAGTTGGTGGGGAGGGGTCAACAGAGATATGACATGTCCTGAGCACCCGCTAGATAATGATGGCTGAGGCGGCAGAGCTGGCCAACAGGAATCTCCAGAAGCCAATTCCAAGGAGGTAGTTGGGGAGGTTGTGTTGTTGCATCCCAAAAGACGTACAGTTCGAGTCCAGGGGTCTCATTTGTGTCCTCTAGGGCTTCAAGGTCAGTGTGACCGGCGTGTGGGGTGGCTTCAGAGTCTGGCTCTGCTGCTGGACGGATGCTTGCAGGCGATGGTTATGGATGGGTGTGTTGGGGGAGCCTTCTAGGACACAGTGGCCGGCACCCCAGCCATCCCGGATCTGTGCCCTTCTTAACCCATAGCTTGCAGACGGCCCCTCGGGCCTTAGCTCGGAGCTGGGGCAGGGGGCTGGCGGCGGAGGAGGGGGCCGGCGGAGGAGAGCGGCGCAGCCCCAAGTTTATGCTAATCCGCACAGAGCCCGCCTCCCGCCTCCCCTCGGCGGCCCCAGCCGCGAGTTGTCCGGCCACTCCGCGGGACGCAGCCGCCGCGAAGCGCCAGGCGGCTGGGCCAGCAGCTCCGGGGGCGCGACCGCCGGCGGGACCGG